ATTTTTTCCGGCCAGTCTTCAGTACAACCGGGATTGGATAAAGATCAGATATCTGGTCATAGAGGATTTAATAATCGCAACCTTCACAAAGAACGATCTAGAAAGGCAAGGAGGACCGCTAAATCAAGAATACTGCCCTATATGGGCATTAGATTGCAAATGATTTGAATAAAACTTGAGTTGCTTAGAGCGATTTTTAAAAACTTTGATAGTATGAATGGCAGAATCAGGATTCAAAAGTTTATGATTCCATCCAAAAGTGGGCATATTGAAGTTTCTTGGAGATGTTCGGAGATCAAATTTGTCAGACAATTATCAAGGACTTTGCACGGTTGATTTGAATTTTTTTCTCATAAGAGATACATGAGCAAGAAATGACAAAGATCGGGGCGGAGGGTTTAACGAAGTTTTGAGGTAAAACAAAAAGTTGAGTCGTAAGAAGGCAATACAAACTCAATATATAGTTTACTTGAATATTTTGTTGAATACTTTTAGGCTGATCTTCGTCATGGTGTATAACATTACGAGGTCAAGTTGTGCAATGAATAGGCGCAAATTTTTGTGTCTGTATGTTCCTAGGTTCCAGAGACAAATTTTTAAACATGTTGCAAAATGTAAGTGGGTTACACTTACAACATTTCCGTGGATTCCGCGTACAAATACCTGTAACGTAAATTTTGTCGGCACATTTGATGTTGGCACAATTTTTTCGGCAAAAAAGTGAATCAGTTTCTAGAAAACTATCATGTAAAGTGTAAACTAATTACATAGTATTATATTGAAAAAACAGCATTCCTCATTTCAATTTAGAACGGTTTCTAAAACGGCAGCATTACCCAGTCCGGAAAAAATACCAAAACAATGCCTGCAGTTTTTAAGCAGGGACACAACATGGGTTCTCCATGATTAGTTGAACAGCTCGTATGTTGATCTTTTTCTTTGTGATAAATGCTTAATTGCTTAATCTTAATCAACTAACAAAAGTGATATTAAATTATCTGTCTGCTCACATTTTTAAGCTCTCTTTTAAAAAAAATCACGAAACCTGTGAACGGTTGAACAAAAGAAACTAAAAATTTTTGGACGATAAAAAAATCCGTGAAAAATTGCTCGTTTAAAAGAATCGAAAGTTAGAACAGTAATTGCAGCGATTAGAAAGGACAAACATATAAGTATTAGGTTTACAATTCAACGCAATACATATTTTTATCAAATCCACAATCACCTTAAAAACATATCATGAAATATTTTCTCCATTCCGCTCACAGGAAAAAAAATAAATTATTTAAAAAAAGCAAAGAACTCGAAGCTTTTAACTCTCCATACCACTACTTGTCCGATTCGTCGCTGACAAAGATCACGTCCTCTTCATCATCCTTTTGTATACGCAATTCAACCGTCCTCAACATAATAATGAAAAACACCGAAGTTCTCTTGACCCATCGCCTATATACTTCTCACAGATCAGTAATCAGTTATTCTTACCGAATCATTCCTACGCTGCCTCTGACTCACAAATTAATTGCCTCTGACACACCACAACTGCCGCTGACTCATCGAGGACATAAAAATTGATCCCAGAGCCATTATGGGAGAAAAAAAAACACCCCATCACTAAGACTGGCCATTCCCAACCTCTATTCTTTTTCAACGACGCCATGACTCACAGTACAATCTCAAATCGCTCAGTGACACTTTAACCGTCACCAAAACTCAAAAATTCTCAGAACAAAATTGAAAATTATATCAAACAGGGGATTAAAATTTAAATCATTTTAAAAAAAATTTGCATGATGCTACACTAGGACAACACAAACACAAGCATAGTGGTAAGTTTTTCTATGCTTACCACAATACTTATTTAATAATAAGTCACAAAAGTTTGTTTTATACTTCAAAAAGAGTCAGCTAGATGAAGATCAAATATCAATTCTTGAATAGCCAATTCGGTTCTAGCGAAGAACAGTTTTTTTCTTTATGACTGAAACACTGTTAAATGTCTAAAAACGGCCAAAATTAACAATCATTTTTTCAAATATTCTTCTTCGCAACCATTTATTATTTTTATCTACCATCCAAGACACAATCAGTACAAAATCAATCATCAAGCACTAATCTTTTTGATAGTTTTACATGGCAATGCGCCCGTAGGACGAGGAAATTCATTGGGGTGCCGAATGCGACCAACCAAACATGCTTATGCTCACTTTTGAAGAGTTTGCTCAGAAACCTCATCGAATCTACAATCCATATCCATTTTCAAAGCCTCACATAACTTCCAAGAGATTAACTCGTGCAACACATCGCCTTTTATTATGCTTTTTACGTAATTATTTTCACAGCTTAAAAACAAGCTAAGGAATAATGATCCTTCCTGATAATAATTGACATTTCTGCGATTAGCAGA